ATCCGATCAAGGGACACCTGAACCGATGCGGTACAGTCGTTAATTTGAATGTAAAAATTGTAGCATATTATTATATTCATGTGGTTATAGACGGCCTGCAGCTGCGATTTTTGCGAATTTCGCCCGATTTGGGCACGGTTTATAGAAGTGCACCAACACCGCGGGAATGGCTTGGAAATCAACAGTAATCTGCAGAAATTCATTGCCAACGGTTAGACGCAATAATAATCGTCAGCTTGCTGCCATAATGTATACAGGTAATCGATATTTCGCCACGGCGGCGGCGGCGGCGGCGGTTGATCGTGACACGCGGACAGTCGTGTTTCACATAATATGCACACTCAGTACTCGCATTATATTATATACATGCAAAATATTAGTACGCGACACGCGGCGGCGGCGATAGATTAAAATCTCATCGTCGCATACGGCGATTATCCTGTACGCAAAACTTAGTCGTGGGTATAGATACATAGCGGTAACAGTGATCAGCCTGCTAGTGCGGGGTATAGCGAGTAGTGGTAACTGTGGTAGTGCGTGTCGCGGTATAATCATAATAATATTGTACAGTGGTGACGTGCGCGTGCGCGTATGAACTCACTCGTGGCGCGAATTATCATAATAATAATAATAATAATAATATTATATTATTGTGCGCGTCGCGATATTTATAGTCCGCGAAGGGCAAAATCGAAGGACGGTGTCTCGACTTGCGCTGCCCCCCGGACAGTCGTACCGGGATTATCAAACAGTTACGCAGGCGATCGTACTTGCCGGGTGGTTCAGATAAATTCAAAAATAATTACAAATTACAAACATCGGGTACTCGYATTTTGCACACCGTAATACCTCATACCACGCATATGGCGTACACTTAGGCAATGTGAAGCGCCGAAGTGACCGGAAACTATTATACTACCACCAGCCTTATATAATATATAATATAACTTATAGAACCACTACGCCATAYYGAATTTCAAAAGTCCAAGCTATTTAACTACCTATCGAGTTACGGTAACCTATGAGTTATCACCTAGAGCCCTACAGGAAAAATTCCTTTATATTTATATAGATATGATGAGTGATATTTGGCTTTTAAACAACATATAATTTTTATAAAAAGGTGTAAATGTGTAACGCACCGCATCTTACAGACTATACAGTATTAATATTAAATAATATATTAATATATTATGTTTATGGCCAATCACTTATTAAAACTACGAGTGCACTCTGTCATTCATATGCATGTTCAGTGCTCCCTCTCAGTGCCAATAGGATTCGTTCATGTAGACCTAKATACCTACGACAGTAAGACGAATCTATAATAATAAATGCGTTTGTGTGTATATTAATGTTATTGTGTATATTAATATATTGAACCACCTCATTTAATTTTATTGTGAAATTACTGAAATTACATTATGTATCTTAGTGACAACGGATAACGGATAACTACAATAGCTTARATTAGAAAACTCAAACTAAAATTTAATCTTGTGGCGTAAACATCCTAGTAGGTATAACAATCTACAGTATGGCTGTATCGAACATGTATAATACTATGATAATATACTTAATTAAAGCGGGTATCACAATAATCAATAGAGACCGATTTATAAACATTTTATATTATTATTATAGTTTATTGCATCAAAAAACTTTAAGTACCTAAAAAATATAGCTTAATTGTTATCTGTTGCGTTATTTTCAGTTCGGGATGAACAAAAAATATGTCTATTCACAAACATAATATATTATACGATGATGATATTATCAAAGAAACAAATAAATATAAATTTGTTACAAGGACGATGCACTGTCGTCGTTTGTACTCCGTATAGTACCTATCATTAAGTCTATTTCTAATGTATAAAATATAATCAAATACCTATGTACATATCTAAGTACAATGTACATATAGGTAAATACGAGAAAATTAAGGACTACACAAAGTAGGTAAATAAGTACCTCCTACAATCTATATGAAAGACAAGTGCTGCAATAATCAGAAAGTTAAAACGATTAGCCATGGTGGTTTAACCACCTACTGACTGTTGTGCATGTCCACCATATCCGAACAAAAAACTCGATAACATGAATTAACGCTTCGYAGTAGCTGTAATTACAAGAACACACACAGCAGTTAACGTTTGATGTATATAAATATAAAGTACATATGGTCGCGTCTGCAAATAAGTATAATTACAAGTTGCCAAACGTTTATGTTTATATATATTATGTATACATGTATGATGTATTATATACACAGTATATTATGTGTATATAATATACCATAATATACAATGCAATAGTATTTACTATTTATTTATTTGCAGTTTCGAGTGTWTAATTATTGCGTAGCCACCAATTGTTTAGTTAACTGTAAAAATCGACGTTAAGGTTCCCCTTGTTACAACAATATTGGTTTTAATATGTCCTCTCTCCCGAAGATAGCAACAAGCAATATGAAAAAATATGAACAGAAAATATTCAACCCATAGATGATAATTAAGAAATACAATGCTCGAATATACTACTGTAGAATTCAATATTTTAGTAGCGCTGCAGAAATATATAGTATACAAGAATACGTGATCTACTGATCTACATAACGTGAATTATATAACTACAAATTTTTTTATTTTTTTTTATTTTACAATTTGAAATACAAAATCTGCACAATAAGTATATAAATATGATATTATAATAGTAGCATGAATATTTTGAATTAAGAAATCACCCATTTGTGACACTTGCARGATGGGAATTAAAGTACAAATTATGAACGGATAATATGTACTAGCAAATTATATCTATTATGTTATAAATACTGAATAATATGTATATCACATGATTATTTTAGACCAAGGTTTTACTTGGATTTTCCAAACACATGTACAATTACAGTACAAACTACAAGCAACTTAAACTTTCATGGAGATGGACATATTTTCACTTGAGAGGGTGCGGTGGTAAGAGGCGACTCCTTTGGGGAGGGGTTTTATCGGCCCTTCGGGAAATCCTTGCCAGTTAAGTATATTATGATAAAATTGATAGCTAACTGCAAGTAGTCGCTCACTACGGCTACCGGCTTTGGTCGCAAAACTTCGCTACATCTATTGACCGTGTATGAATATGTTATCGCTTAAAAGTTATAACTATGAAACGTATATTATATGACTTGTCGGTAGTCTGCTGTCTGCACGATTGTGCGAAACTTGCTGACAGTCGACTTCCGTGATAAATGGTAAACTTCTAYATAATKCCTATCAGTTTGAAACGAAGTCTGAGCGAAATTTTATAGTTGTACCATCGTTCTTATGTGTAGGTGATATGTACCTACGCAGTTCCAACAGTTTTCCGAAGCGCGTGGTAAAATACGCTTTATAGATTTTCTTTCTTGTACTGTATGAATTAATTAATTTTTTTTTTTTAATACYATCGCGCAAAACAAACTTGTGATTCACAAGACGTTTATTAATGTATTATGCATAATAATGATATATAATTTAACGTTCGGTGTCAGGGTGGAAAATTAAAATGATATAAGTAAATAAAAATAATATTATTATGTACTCACGTAGTGTAGGTTATCAGTCTTTTGGTTGAGTCTCAGGTCGACGGAATTCCATTTGTCTACCAGAGCCTTGTTGACGCCAACGCCGTCGCCGAAACGAGGGTCCAACGCCAATGGCGATTGATTGTAAACGACCGAACAGTTGCCGGCCGGCGACGGGTTGATGTCGTCTGAACACAATCCCGCGACGCCACCGCCACTGGAGGTGGTGCTCGTGCTGCCGGTGCTGATGGTGCCGCCGCCAAACGCGGACGAGTACCCGGAAAAGCTGTCACCACCGCTACCAATACCACCCGCAGGCTTACGGCCGCTGTTGGTGCTACTGGTGCTGCTACTGCTGGTGCTATTACTACGGCACCGGCATCGGGCGCAGTGCCTGCAGCTCTTGACCCGTGGTATGCGGTCCGATTCCGCGGCGTATCTGAGTACGCCACTATCGGCATGTCCCGGCCACACCGGCCGCGGTATGCAGTACTGATGCACGTCGATGACACCCTCTTTGATGGGCGACAGCAGCCATGGCGCCGACTTCCTTTGCACCGGACTGCCCAACGATTCGTCCGAAGACGGTGGTGACGTACCGTTCCTCAGACTCTTCGTGGCCGGCGGTGAACCCTTGTCCAAGCTCGAGTGGTCCGAGGGCGGTTGGCTGTCGTACCCGGAACTACCACTTTTGTTCTTCCACGTCTCATTGTTGTTGTGGTGATGCACTTGCTCGTCATCCACATAAATCGGATTTATTCTGTAACAGCGTAAACATGAAACATAATCGGATTAGTCCCGTATATAGCAATAATATTCCTATGATCCAATGCCAAGTATTATTATTTGATTTTGGAGACTATATATATAAATATAAATAATATATGATATAGTTATATTTATTCTAAAATTCAAATATAAAAAAATATTAATACTAGTGAATATTACTACCTATATATTATATATATATATATATATAAATTAAATCAATATCGTTGAATTATAATTTAGTAATATTATTTGAAACTTTGTTTTTTTTTTACTTAAAACCATTTAACCAAATTTTTTTATTCTGTTTCTATAAATATGTGTCTAAAAAAAAGTATTAGATACCTCCTAAAAGTCATAGTGTAATATAACATAATAATTTAACTATACTAGTAATTATTATACCGACTTATGGCTATATTATATTATACACTTCAGTCGCTTTCGACGACGATTAGAACTAATTACAACAATTATCATTATTCATTATTAATGAAAAAYCTGAATTGGAATTATTTAGTATAATAAAAATCATACAGACAATTTGCAAGATTATCGTGTTTAATCAGTAAATACTTCATATTATATGGTATCAGATAATCAGGTAAAATGTGAAATTTTTATAAATCGATCTTCATAAACCTATATGTTGTTGATTATCCACGGAAAATTATTGTACTTATTGAATTCAAATATTAGAATATTCGTGATTAATATTATTATACGGGGATGAAACGAATAGGATTGGGTTATAGTTGATATGCTAAAAAAAGTTAAAAAATTATACAACCATACGTATAGAATTTAAAATCGAAATATTATATTGACTCATATTATTTAAGCGTATATTAATATATTATATTGAATTTATATGCTTAAACTTAGTAGTTAAGTATTAAATACTTGAAAATTATTTTAAAGAGATTCATTAAGACCATGATTTTTAGTTCCATGTGTAATTATAATATTAATTAATCGAATTTATATGTTATTTTTAGAGAGTAGTAGGGTACCATTGTTTTTATTAGAATGTGTAATGTGTACTTACAACTATTAAATCAAATATTCTGTACATTACTTATTATAATGGAATACGAATACCTGCAGATGACTAAAACCTAGATTATATTATAGCAATATTAATAAATATATATATATATATATATATATATATATTTATATTAAATTTATAGCCATATATGTATATATGAACAGAAAGTACTTGYTATATGCCAGTTATTCTGCACTAATAGTTTTCACTTATGTTACTTTTAACAAATTAAAGTAACATGATTTTCCCGTATTAAATACAGTTCAAAAATAATTTGAACTTTTAACTTAAGCGTAAGATGAACATCAAAACCCATTATTTTGGTAACATGTGTTCTCAAATACCAATTATACAAGCACGAGTGAGATTTAATAATTTGTTAAATTGTGCTACATTAYAATTATTAGTAACATCTTATAAAAATACGAAAACAATTCTAAAAGAAAAAGGGATGGGTTTAGCATCTATTTCTATGGATAGTTTATGTTCAATAATATTTATATGAACAATTTATTAAGTATAAAAAAAAAACACAAATAAATTATGTAAGAAATGTTTAGGATTCTAATATACCTACATAATTTTATACCGAATCAACGAGTTGGTGAAGTTTTTTCGGCTGGATAATAACAACAAAATTAATTATCTGTTATTACAAAACATCAAATACACGTATTAAAATTAGTATAAGAAATATTTATRTTATATTACCTATCTATATAGGTAGTTCAACAGTACCTAGTAAATAGCTGTGATAATTACGACCATTCATATACATTGTATTATGCTCACACAACGTGGCGCGAACAAATCATGAATGAAAATGAAATTAAAGTTTTTATCACGGAAGGTTATACTTACACATATWCTATTACGCTATAATATTATGTACAAATACAATAAATGAATCACGCAATGTTCATTTAGGTCTATAGAACTGTAATCATTGTATAGTACTTAATAGTTATGATATAGGTACATATACTTAAAATACCTTAGATGTTGGAAGTATTATGAATGTGTGTATGGGATGTTTAAACAACAACGGATTGGTTAACGTTTTTCAAGGTAAAATGACTTATTTGTAAATTATGCTTAATAATATGTAATTACATACGATTTTACGAACAAATTAGAAGTAAAATGTCGTTAATAATTAAATGTTGCGAATTCTACCGAGTTTCTAATTAAAATAATTTTATGATCTTTGATTTATATGAGCACTAGGTATTTAATTCAGAAAAAAAATATTTTTTCACCTAATTTACGTGTAACTAATTAAAATTTCAAAATAATTTAACCTATCACTGACTTACAAGTGGCAAATTAATTTTTCTACGGTTATTTACTCATATATTAATATTTTCTATATATTTTTCAAAATGTTTATAATGTACAATTTAAAAACTTAGTAAATAT